TAAGTCCATTTTCAAACTACCAAGTGGATGAATAAGAATCTTGAGAAAGTTTTTCATTTGTCTATGATTATAAACAATCCTATTAAGATTATTTATGAAATTCGAACCGAATTCTATTTATGATTCATTATTACTATCTCAAAGGCCCTTCTTCTTTCTTATTTCAGCAAATCTTGATTTACACCGAGTATTCTTTTTCTTTTTCTTTTTTATACCTTTTCATATACGAATTCTACATATTTTGACATTTAGGATTTATATACCAGCGAATCCAGGAAGCCCACCAAAAAAAAAAAAAAATTTAGTAGTACTAGCTCACTCTAGAATAGATTAGAGCACTCCATTATGCATTATTTATGACATTATAGAATCCTCAAACGTCTTTAGAAATTCTTTATATATATATAGCGTGTAATGGTAAAGTGGTTTGGTCTTTAAAAGATATATGGGCCTGAGGCCACTAGGAACAAAACAAGAGAAGGGAAAAGATACATTAAGTAAACCCCAACCCTAAGAAGGAAACCCAACAGGAAGGGAGAGCGAAGTTAGACACAGCAGCCCAGCCCATAAGTTAAAAGACCGTTAGTCTCAACAGCTACATGCCACTCACTAAAAAGACAAACTTAGTGCATCAGATCTCGTCATTATAAAATTTGAGGAGGATTAAATATATGCAGTAGATTATTCGGGTCCTTCAAATGCCATAGCTTGCCCCTGAAGTCGCTTCAGTTACCAATCACATCATCCATTTCTTTCAAAATTTGTTGGTGTCTAATGGTGATAGTTTATATTATGATTAGATTAACATTGCATAGAAACCATCTTTGGTTGCGCAATGAAAAAAAGATTTAAAAATCAAGACGATGTGCAAATGCTTAAAGAATTTGTAAAGACCAAACCACTGTACAGTTACACACTATATCTTTCCACAAAACAAAAAAAAAAAAAAAAAATCCCTATTTGTTGGCATCTTGTCAGCCAAAACACAATATATATAATCAATTTCAAAAGAGATTGAACTTTGATAGGTGACTTTTACCAACTACTAAACATCTGAATTACTCGTATTAGAAATGGACAGCAACTAAAGCTTGTCACATCCATAATTACATGGAGAGTGAATTAATCAAACCAATAAAGTTATATTGGCTGCTTTAAAAGGTACCATTTCCATATAAATAGCTAGTAGACTGGTTGTATATAAATATGCATATAGTGACAAATTTAATACGTAGGCGGGGTTAATTATTAGGACCGCAAATGAACCGATCTAACTTGTGTCTTAGACTGCTCGATTCGGGCTTGGACTCGTCATGTGTTAAAAAAACTCAGACTTGGCTCATTTAAGAAATTAAATAAAATTTATAGTCAAATTTTGTTCAAACTCGTTTTCGAGCTCGTCAGCTCGTTTAGTAAATTATTTTATATTTATGTTATACTTTAAAAAATTAAATAATTTCATTAAAAAATAAAAATAAATGTAAACGAACATACCGTTCATGAATATAAATGAACTTACACGAGCTCATGTTCATGAACATAAACGAGTCTACACGAGCTCATATTCACGAGCCGAGCCAATCATTGTTCAGGATTGGCTCGTTCAGTAAACGAGTTTAGAAATCAAACTCGAGTTCGGCTCATTTGTTTAACAAATAAGTCTGAGCCGAGTCTGAACTATTCATAAATAGCTCGATTCATTTGCAACCCTATTGATTATCGTATCATTGTCATCCTACAAATAATTTGCCTGTTCAAACATATCACATTGACCAAATCCCATTTTGCTCATTTAAATATGAAATACTTCTGTTTTTGGTTGCTTTAAGTTTTAAAATTAAACCAAATCAAGCCCTTTCTTCTTCTAGAAACAAAAACCAATTCTTCTAATATTACTAGCCACGTGAAGTTGCTTTCTATCCGATCTTTTTCACATGTAATCCAAAATACTGGAGAACTAGTTGTAGACATTTAGACGTCTATATTGAATAAGGCCAAAATTTAGATTTTATCAATGAAAAAAGGTTGGCTTTTTCGGTTTGAATTTTTTTTCCCAACAGTATTATCGTCTGTATCATAAATTTTATCGGCTAAGAAAAATAATATTCAGGCCTACTTGTTAAGGCATTGATGACTTGAAGTGAAGCCTAAAACCGATTTTAATATTACTAGTCATATGGCTTTTTATCTAATTTTTTCCCACATATAATCCAAAATATTGAAGAATTAGTTTTAGACATTTAGACGTTTATATTTATAAGGAATAAGACCAAACCTTTGATTTTATCCAATAAAAAGTTTAGCTTTCTCATTTTGAATTTTTCTTCCAAACAATATTGTCTATATTATGTATCATAAACCTTATCTACTAATTGTTTCAACATTTTGTAATGATTCCAACATCTGACATTAATAATACAAGGATTTAATCACCAAAATTTCGTACATTTTTCAGATTTATTGGACGAAGCATATGACAACTTCAAATTTGGGTTCTTACATCTTAGGCCCCAATAATTATAATGCAAATTAGGAATGGGACTATTCAATTTATATATAGTGAAAATCATTAAGGCTTGTTTGGACATATCTTGGAATTGTAAGGTGTTTGTGTTGCTTACATAAGAAAAATAAATTCCAAGATATGTCGTAAGGTGGTTGCGTTGCTTACATAAGAAAAATAAATACATGCTTACATTGGGGTGTGGGATATTTATTCGTTAGGAAAAATTATTTTAAAATTGAATTGTTGGGCACAATTTCTAGCCCTACTATTTTTAATGGATCAATGCATCTGAAATATAAAAAAGTAATATCTCACTTTTTATCTATTACATTAATAATTAATTAAATATGTTCGGTACAAATATCATTTAGTCAATTAGTTAGACATGCAAGCACCTTAAAATATCAAATAATTCAAATATATTACATTTTTTATTCAAAACAAGTGAAATTCTCATTGAGCACACCATTACTATGAGCTTATTATTTTATTCAAATATAATAAAAATATTAAATAATATAATTATTTACCAATTCTCACGCATGGTCTGGTGGCCGCCTATTTTGGAATTTGATGTGTCAAATATTAAAATATATTTTTCATGTAATATATATTCAAAGTATTTAACCAAAAGAGCGGGCAAACAAAAAAAAAAAAAGTTGGTAATGTAATCATATCTTTCCATCATCTTATGGTATCCAACATATAAAGCAAAACATAGTAGTACTCAATGATCATGACACATTTTAAATTACATAAAGAGGCTCTTTTGGCTTTTAATTGACATATTATACAGATAAGTGATAGATGAAGAAGAGACTATTTTGGCATATTATAGAGACAAGTGTGTGTATATCTCATGTCATAGGCTCACATACAGACAAACAAACGGAAATATCCACCGCGACTATCATCTTATCTGGTGTGAGGCTTCCAACTTTACCCTTCTCATTGGGATGATTTCTGTAATTTGGACTTTCTTTCAAATCCAATGTTTTTGGTAGTTCATGCAATTCTTGTTTCTGAAGACGCACAGACAGCATGGGAGAAGCCTCTGTCTCTCTCTCTCTCTATATGTATGTATGTATATACTATATATTTATATATAGAGAGAGTATGGTTTCTATAACTTGGACTTTTTAAGTGGCTAAATTCAGTATTTTTGGTTCTTCATGAAATTCGCTAGCCCACTAGGAAAGGCATATTACATGAGAGCAGTTCACGCTACACACTTATCCGTATTTGTGAAATGTGCCTATTTAGTGGTACTCATGAAGTAACATTTGGAAGTTGGTATTAAAATAATATAAAAACACTTAGACCAAATATCTATCTATTTACGAAAAAAAATATATCTATCTAATATTTGTGAAATGTACCTATTTAGTGGGACACATGAAGTAACATTTGGAAGTTGGTATTAAAATAATATAAAAACACTTAGACCAAATATCTATCTATATTTAGATAGTAATAAAATTATCCAGTTATTACTAAAAATTTAAAATAAATAAATACTCCCTAAATATAGGGTAATGTTATAATTGTCCATATTGTCAACTAGTGCTAAAAAAAAAAAAAAAACAAACAGTGTGAGGTCCTCCACTATTGATAGGGAAAAAAAAAATGTATGTGAGATCCACTATTTTATGTGTTAATTGGTGTGACAATGTCATCAATTATAAATTTCTTTAAAAAAATATTATTCAATTATTTTTCATTATATATAAGTTATGCCATGAAATCAAATATAACTTTGTCCCAAAAAAAATTATCCATCTTTCTATTTTTGGTATGTCTCAAAATAAATGTCTCATAGAGAAATCATCACATCCATGTGGACCCACTATAGATAATTTGATAATTCGTTCACTACTAATACTATAAAAAAAATATAAAATTCTTCATCTTAAAAATTATATTCTCAAAAATAGACATGGTTTTTTTTATTCCGCGTTGGCAGGGATCCGAGAAGTAAGTCATTGAGGTCGCGTTTTCGAACTACACTTTTGACTTGAATGGAAAAAAAAAAAAAAATTGTTTTTGGAATGAGCAAAGAGTAAACCAAAGAGAATGATAATTAGAATTATAATGGGTGAAAAAAAAGTAAATAATCAAAATTAACTAATTATGCCATCATTGAGTTTAATACTTGAAAATGAGAGACCCTAGTTTTATCAAATACAGAGTCGTTAATACTATTTATTGGAGCCTTAAAAAACACCTATCCAAATTTTTTTTAAACCTTTTAAATGTTTATGCAGAGTGGAATGAAATATTATATATTATTAGAGGAATTCCAAACAATGATTTAATAAATGAATGATATTTAGCAGAGTATACTATTAAAAAACAGGGGCAATAACAGAAACATCAAAAGATAAAAGGAGCAAATTGTAATTAGAAATCTGACTTTTTATCCGTAACTGGACCTTTTCCCAGTGGTTTGTCCTCATCTTTTCTAATTTTAGACCTTTTTGTCTGCCTATTAAGTGTGAAGATAGATAATCTGGACTGGGAAAGAGTGAGACTTCGCAGCCAGCAAAACACGCACACACTCTCTCTCTCCCTCTCTCTCTCTGTCCTAAAAAGTCTCAAGTTATCAATAGTGTGATATCATGTAAGAGTGTGTGTGTATATATATATATACACAAAGATATATAGCATACTATTGAGGAATTAGTCACTGTTAATTTGAAATATTCAGAGGCTATGGCAACTCGGAGGCTCTCTTCTCTGCTTTCTTCTTCCTACGTTGTTGCTGCTTCTTCACGTTCTTTTGGTAACTCTCATCTTCAATTCTCTTCTATCTTTTTATTTTTATTTTTATTTTTTTGGTATATATATAGATATATGAAATAAAAAATAAAAAATAAAGTATGATCATGATGATTGTTTATGTGAGGATGTTGCAGAGGTCACGTTTGGGATGATTTTTTTGATTGATCATTGTTTTTGAAAAGTTGGGTTGACCATGTCTAAAGTTCTTGAGATGAAATATATACCACTTGTCTTGTTTTTAGTGATTCTGGAGCTTCTGGTTTCAGCGATCTCATCTTATTATTCATATTAAGAAAAAACATCTTTTCCGGGTCATGGAAATCAAGGGCACGAGGCTCCCAACATTGGGGGTATACGAGAAGGGTTAGATGCATGCTACCTTATCTAGGAGATAAGGTTTTCGATTTTCAAACCAGTGACCTCCACGTCCCAATGGAGCAACTGTTAGACTATTGAAATTATTTGACTTTTTTGGTACCTGATATTTACTCTGATTTAAAGAGTAAACTAAGTGGAGTAATTAGTTATGCAATTTTTCAAAAGCACTTTATTTGCTATTTCATCTGCTTGTTCTCTAAGAATTCAATTTTAAAATAGTGTTATGTATAATTAACTGTAATAAAAAGTACAGCAAATTTAGAATTTTTCTGAGGTTGTGAATGGATTGATTTTTCTGACATAGAATCTAAAGAGGTAATTGGCAGAAATCATTCGAAGAATCTACTAATATAAGATGGTTGTTCAAACTTACAGAACTTATCAGTGTGTCGATAGTAGGTCATGGTAGTGAAAATGCAATGCCAGTGTCATATAAGCTGCAAGTCTGTAACACATTAACACGAATTATGGTAATTGACATATCGATATCATAGGAAATATAATTGAATGCTCACAAACAGCTATTTATGATTTTCAGGCCGTTATTCGAGCTGGGGCAGAGGCATCAATAGGTTTAGTACTGCTGTTGCACTTGAGGAACCAATTACTCCACCTGTTCAAATAAATTATACCAAGCTTCTCATCAATGGACAATTCGTGGATTCTGCGTCGGGTGGGTGTTCATCCTTTTTCCCACAAGAACAATGTGGATCTTTTGTTTATGATTTTTTTGTTATAGATAGTACAATTCCAAGTTTAATACAGATAAGCTGAATTTTTTTTTTTTTTAATTATTCTATGGTTTTAGGGAAAACATTTCCGACGTTGGATCCTAGGACAGGAGATGTGATTGCTCATATTGCTGAAGGTGATGCTGAAGATATTAATCGTGCAGTCTCTGCTGCTCGCAAGGCATTTGATGAGGGACCATGGCCAAAGATGACTGCTTATGTATTTTAATTTCTTTCTCAATTTTCTAATTTTTTTAAATTGTCATTTTCTTTTGTGGTGGTGAGGAGGTTGTGCCAATATTGCTGCATATGTGATCATTGACCCTAAACTTTGTTGTTAAATTTGTTTAGGAAAGATCACGGATAATGCTGCGGTTTGCTGATTTGATTGAGAAGCATAGTGATGAAATTGCAGCTCTTGAAACTTGGGATAATGGGAAGCCTTATGAACAGGCTGCAAAAGCCGAAATACCATTGCTGATACGCCTTTTTAGATACTATGCTGGTGGGGAGATGATAATAATAATTTATTGTATGCTCGTGTACACGATTTGTGCTATTATTAATTGAGGCTTCTCTTTGTAATTTCTTCAGGATGGGCAGATAAGATTCATGGTCTCACAGTCCCTGCTGATGGCCCGTACCATGTCCAGACCCTGCACGAACCCTTTGGTGTTGCAGGGCAGATTATTCCGTGGAATTTTCCTCTTCTAATGTATGCTTGGAAGGTTGGACCTGCATTAGCATGTGGTAACACTGTTGTACTGAAAACTGCTGAACAGACGCCATTATCTGCTCTCTATGTGTCAAAGCTATTCCATGAGGTAGCCTTGTGATATTTATCTATTGTTTATGTGTTTATGTGCTTCGGTTCTACTTGTTATAGTATTCTATTGGGACTTTTGTTGCACATTTTTCTTAATTTGACTTGGATTGTTGTGTTTTATCAGAAAATCTTATAATGTAATTAAATTAGAAATAAGATCAGATAGTGATATGCCTGTTCCTTTTCTCTTTGGTGCAAAAGGATGATACTTTATCTCAATTTCAATCTGATAGGCCGGACTTCCTCCTGGTGTTTTAAATGTTATTTCTGGCTTTGGTCCCACTGCTGGTGCTGCTCTTGCTAGTCATATGGATGTGGACAAGGTACTTTACAAGCTCCAAATTTTGTTTCCAATTCCCAAAATGAGAAAAAATATTTCTGAACAAGTTTGAAGTATTGTAATGTTTTTTTATTTGGGATATATTGTTTCTGGCCATTATGTCTCAATAACGTTCTAGACTCTGCATTGGTGTTTAATATATAGGATATTTTATCTAATTTGTCTTTGTTTCTGGCCTTGTGCCTTCTTTAGAAACTGAGATAAGATTTCATAATCTTCGGACTAAATTTCACATTACTAGCTAGCGCATTGGTCTTATATCTGTTAGCTTTGATGCGGAGTCTGTCAAGTTTTGATTGAAAGCAAATATTTATGGCGGTGAAACGCAGTAATTCATGAAATTAAGCCTTACAGAAAAGGAAAAATAAAAAAGGAAAAACTCGCCTTCTGATATTCCTTTTCCTCCATTTCGTATATTAGTGAACGACGAATGGATGTGTTTTACAGTTTTGATTTATTTGTAGAATTTGGTATGTGCATTCAGTAATTAGTTACTATATTTTATGTTTTCGGAAATTGTCATTGCCATCTTTTATCTGGAGTCACCATGTTTTACTCAAGTTCGTAATAGTGGTAACTTAGTTATGACTGTTGCTGATTAGAGAGCAGATAAGTAATTTATTCAGTTTATCACATGACAACAATGGTCAGGCATATTTAAACAAATCACATATGTTTTTGAGTTAGACTCCTAAACCTTGTTAGTACTCCCTTTGCAGCTTGCTTTCACGGGTTCGACTGAAACTGGTAAAATTGTTCTCGGAATGGCTGCAAGAAGCAATCTTAAGCCGGTGACTTTAGAGCTTGGAGGAAAATCTCCTTTCATTGTGTGTGAGGATGCTGACATTGACAAAGCTGTTGAGCTTGCCCACTTTGCTCTGTTCTTTAATCAGGCTTGTGCTACAAATCTCTTTCTACATTAATGTGCTGGTGGTTTTCATCTTTTTCTAACCCTGAAATTTCATGACACATGTTTGTGACTACTATCTGCAGGGACAGTGTTGCTGTGCTGGATCTCGTACTCTTGTACATGAACGTGTATATGATGAGTTTATAGAGAAATCAAAGGCACGCGCTTTGAAACGTGTAGTTGGTGATCCTTTCAAGAAGGGAGTTGAACAAGGTCCCCAGGTATTTGGTGGATGATAATTAATAATTTGTTTCCTTATCTATGTGTTGAAGGAATCATTTGATCACTATACTCTTGTAACATCCATTTGACAGTAGCCATCTACTAAAATAGCTATATAACTTCCGTGAATTGACATTTTTTTAGTGTTATTACATGCAACCATTAGCTAACAAATATAGGCAACTCAACTCAACTCACCAAAGCCTTTTTCTCGATTATTTGAGAAAGAAAGTGATTATGTTAATATGTGGTCCTTGTAAACAATCCAGATTGATTCCGAGCAATTTGAGAAGATCCTGAAGTACATAAAGATCGGCATTGGAAGTGGTGCTACGCTTGAATCTGGAGGCGAAAGATTTGGCTCCAAGGGCTACTATATTCAACCTACTGTTTTCTCAAATGTCCAGGTAAAATTTCAGCCACCCTTACAACAGCAACAACAAAGACAATCAAGATATTAGTAAAACTAACAAGATAATTTACTCTTTTTGCCAATTAGGACGACATGGTAATAGCAAAAGAAGAGATTTTTGGCCCAGTCCAGTCTATCTTGAAATTCAAGTGAGCTTTGAACCACCCAAGAAGTCTCACTTTGGTGTTCTAAAAAGTTTTTTAGTGCTTACACTTGCCTTTATTGTCAACATAGGGATCTTGGTGAGGTGATTCAAAGGGCAAATGCAACTCGGTATGGGCTGGCTGCTGGAGTTTTTACCCAGAACATAGACACTGCCAACACCTTGGCGCGTGCATTGAAAGTTGGAACGGTATGGATCAATTGCTTTGATATCTTTGATGCTGCAATTCCCTTCGGTGGGTATAAGATGAGTGGGCACGGGAGAGAGAAAGGGATCTACAGCCTTAGTAACTACTTGCAAGTTAAGGCTGTTGTTACCCCTTTGAAGAATCCGGCATGGTTGTAATTCCCTTTCTCATGTTTTCGTTTTCAAAATTGTCAGCTGTGAACAGAAACAATGTCATCTATGTGGTGTTGGCAATGATAATAACAACTTCTTTTATCTATATACTTGGGTGGAATATATAGTTTGCTAACAACTTCTTGGTGCTGTGCTTATGTTCTTTAGATGAAGCATCATTTTAATTAATCCTCTAGATATATATTATGGTTGGTTTCAACTTATAGCAAAGAGAGCAACTGGTTCCATTAATGTGTGATTTAGTAGTATATTTAATTATTTTAGTGCTTCTTAAGTGAATCAATGGACTGCACTATAGAACAGTGAACCAATATATAGAAAGTGAAGAAAATGTTGATCTAGTTTAGAAAAAATTGAAGGAAAAAAATTGTTATCTAAAGCAGTAAAAGGTTTAATTTTGTAAAATTGTAATCGTTTTAGACCCCTAAGTTTGCTTCATTTAGTTGAGTATGCAAACCTTCGATTAGAAGATCAACTATATCATATTGGCAATAGGAAACTGAACAGAAATAATAATCAGTCAGGTCAAAGATGAGATGATCATTTTTGGTATTTCAGATAATGTTTGCAGATAAATTGACAAAAATAAAAAGTTCCTACACCACTGCAGCTAGAAGATCATTCTCTTGGGACATTGAATCACACTCACACATTATGGGACTTTTTGTCACAACTGTAATTTTGATATATAACTATTATCATAAAAACAAGGAAACAGCTTTTCCGCACATGGAGTTAAGGTTACGTACATCTGACCCTCTCCAGACTCCACAATGGCAAGAGCCTCATGCACTGGGCTAGCCCTTTTTAGTATTATCATAAAAACGTATATGAGACTACAGACAACAAAATTGTGTGAAATATTAGCTCTATCATAATGAGAAAAAAGAGATTGCTCAGGGATTCACTTCTACAGAGTTTAGGACAAGTCCTGTGTAGAATGATGAGGAGAAGAGCTAGCTTTTGTTGATATGTCAAGGGCTTCTTTTAATTGAATGACAACTTGCTCCATGGACGGTCGATGTTGCCTAAGTGCTGTGCAGGAGAGAGCTAGCTTTAATGTGAGATCAAAAGCTTCTGCTGAGTAATTTCCATCTAGTTTCGGATCAGCAAATCCTGTACTTATACTGCCCACTCTGCTAAAAGATTTTGCCTGTGCACCAGAAACATAAACGAAAGAATTAGGAAGCAACGGACTTTAAGTAATTTGAATTGATAAACTGACAAGGGGCTATAGCTTCTAACCAATTTGTTTAATGGCAATGGTTTGTTCATATTCATATTTATAACCTTCTTTCCTGAGAGGATCTGTAGAAGTACTACTCCAAAGCTATAGATGTCACCTAATGGATTCACTTGGTGGTTGCTTTGGTACTCAGGATCGACGTATCCAAATGTTCCTCTCACTTCTGAGCTAGCATAGGCTTCACCAAGTTCAATAACCTTAGACAATCCGAAGTCTGAAAGTTTCGCTTCAAAGTTTGTCCCAAGGAGAATGTTGGTTGGCTGCAAAATTGACAAACCATGGCAATACTAATGGTTGTTGATGAAATTACTATATAGTGAATACTGATATAGGCATATGATGGCTTAGGGGATTAGTAGCGTTGACACAGACCTTTATATCGCGGTGAACAATGCATCTTTCTGGAAATGTATGAAGAAACCAAAGACCTGTAGCACTGTCAATTGCAATCTCAAGTCTTTGAATCCATGAAAGGACATTTTTCTTCCCTGTAGTGTATCAGTTTGTTCTCATCAGCTATTCGTTGTAGTGAAGATTTGAAACAGAGGGGTAAAACATTTTGAAGAGAAAGGAAAATACCAAAAAGCCACTCTGAGAGGTTCCCATTGGGACACAGTTCATAAATGAGAAAGCATTCCTTCTTATTTTCACAGTAGCCCAACAAAGCCACAAGGTTTGGGTGTCTGACATACGATAGGCTCCTAACTTCCCTCACGAAAGTCTCTACATATCCGTCGTTGATGATATGCTTAACTGCAACATGCTGCTTGTTTGACAGTGTACCTTTATACACCTTGCCTAATACCATAATAGAATAACATGTCAAAATTAAAACACATTGCAAGCCGAAGGCAATGATCATGTTTAGTTAACATTTGAACATTTCTAGTGTTGTTCATCTGCAGTTTTTTATGCATAGTACGTCTAGTCCACGCGATATTGAAAGTAAAAACAAAGACTATGTTACATGTAGATTGAAACTCACCTGCTGTTCCTTCGCCGATGAAGTTCAATTCATTTAGGTTGTTTGTGGCAGAATACACCTCCTTGATTGGGACTGCTAAATTACCAGATCCCTTGGGCATTGCACACTTTGATGCTGTCAAGTAAATAAGCATTATTTATATACAATGTACAATGCTATACTAATCGTGTGGGCTTAAAAATATCAACAAAATACCGTCTTTTTCTTGCAGGAAAGTTGATTTACACCATCTTTTTGACAAGTACAATATAAGTACAATCGCCACGAGCCCTAAGATTCCCCCAATTAAAATGCATATGCCTGTTTTTATGCAAAATTTTCAACTGTGAGAATAAAGAACATTCCAAATAAAATCTGCATATTTAAGAGCATAAAAATTGATATTGATGAAATATATAGCATTACCTGTGCCAATTTTTATACTTCTTTTATGCTCTCCTGTTTGAAGAATGCGATGAACAAAGAGGTTAGCTTGTTGGTTACAGTACATAGAACGTACTGAAAAATATGCAGAAATTTGAATTTTAGGGAGGTTTTTGTGTCTTGTGAAAGCTATATATACCTTTGTCACTGTCCTGACCGAGGCATTGATAGATTTTTCGAACCCGTGTCTCATCTTCAATCCTGCTACTTGTTAATGTCACCAACACTGCAAACCTACATATATCAGATTCATCCTTCGTAGATTCACTATTGTTAGAATGTATATCTTCCCAACTCTTCATACACGAGCCACACGACTGATCCCAATCATCGCCAGAGCTCACAAGTTCGCATTTCTCCTTTAAACTTCTCAAATTGTCTCTCAACCTATGATGGACATCATTGATAGAGAAACCGGAGCAGCCACCACCACCACTTGTGAGCTTCTCAATCCCACAGCTCAAAACATTGTCTTCAAAATGCTTTGTATTCAAACAATTGCTCTGCTCAGTTGAATCCAAATATATCTGTCCAGTTTGATTCGCGCGCTGCCCCAATGCATAAAGGTACTCTTGAAATGCTCCTCCACAACATTTTTTGTACAGAAATCCACCCCAATCTCCCCCTTCACAACTCGAGAAAGAAAACCACGACGAATTTCCAAGATTAAGGACACAATCATTCGATGTTGGCTGAGAAACTGCAAAGTTGAATGTGGTGATCAAGATGAAGATACAAATAAAAATGGCTCTTTTAGGACATTTAGTCCAATGCCATTTATGAGCATGCATAGTCTGCAACACCAAATGGCTTAAGACCAGTATGTTTCTTAGAGGAATGATTTATTGAAACAATTAAGATGAAAATGGTTTCTTTTGGAATATATGTTACTTTCACTGCAATAGTGTGTTTATTATTAAAATAGTTGTTGATGCTTCAGTTTGGCTTATAGTTTGGCTTAATCTTGCAGTTTAAAGAAAACTTCCCAGTTCTCAAAATAGTGTTTTTATTAATCATTTTTTAGCATGGCCTGAAACAGTTTTAAATTGGGTGCATTGTCTAATCGAAAATTAAATTAATTAATCACTAAATAAATTGCCGTCCAATGCAAGCTCATATGAATTACAATTGCTCGATTTTTTTATTTTTTATTTTTTCCAGGAACTGTCTCTTTGGTTTATCCTATGCTTTTGGAGTCTACTATTTGCTTGCCGGAAAGAGGATTAATGACTTAATCGGTAGTACAAAGGGAATTCTTGTTACTATCATAACCTGGCTTAGTTTGACGAGTCTGAATCCTCTGCTATAACGCTTTTGGTGTTTTAACTGCTGTTAAGCGTTTTTCAACACACTTAGATTTGTTTTTAACACATTATATCTACATTAAAAATGTGTTGAAACACGAAATATTACAACCGTCTTAAAAGTGTGTAGAAAAGTAAATGAAATATTCTGAAAATAAATGTAAGTACGTTGAAAAACTTTACAATAATTGCAGCACCAAAGGCGTCATAGCAGATGATCCGGGTTCAGTGTAATTTTGTGTTTTTGTTCATGGTAATGATTTGGATTTTAATTGTCATCCCAACTTCATTGACAGTTGCATTTTGGACAAACACATTGTAACAACTAAGAATATAATAGTTGTATTAAATCAACGTTGATTGATCTAATATGAATTTGAAGTCTTGGAATGGAGCTGAGAATCAATCAGCATATACTTGGTGAAGGCTTTTAGTACTTGATTTAATATGAATTTGAAGTCTTGGAATAGAGCTGAGAATCAATCAGCATATACTTGGTGAAGGCTTTTAGTACTGCCAAATGGCAATGTCTGATTGGTTTTGGCTGAGGAATGATAGTGACTGGTCTTTCCTTAATTATCAATGCATGAATTAAGGTGAATTCTGTCTTAAATTGACCACACCAAAAAATATTATTTGTTTTCTTTAGATGTTGGTATTACTGGTTCATGACCTGGCATGTAACACATCTATGAAAGTGACTTGTCAGTGCTGAGTCACAGTAATTGCCATTAATTTTATTTGATTAGCAATCACTTCTACAAATCCCTGTTACGCATCTGTTGTAATTGGATTAACCATTTTCAATACCCACTCATTTTTTACCCAAAATAATTACACAACTTTGGTTTATACTTCAAAATTATTTAAATTTATATCACTATCACTGCTCCACATGTTTATAAAACAACAGCTGCTCCCAATAAATACATATATAAATATATAAATTACTCTACCTGATAATATTCTTTTCAATTTCACAAATTTTAATAATTCTTATATTTATGTCTTTCAAGTATGAGTAAGTATGTGTGAGAGTGTACTCATGTGAATTCACAGCTCCAAAAAGAATATGGACGACTATAGCTTTTTGCTTGTTAAGAACACAAACAATTACAGTATAGCCTTTATCATATATATATATTTTTAAATCATTTAAAACGTATATATAGTTATCATGTTATAACGTTCTTAGAATGCGAATTCTGACGGATCTTTATGTGCTTGTGTTATCTACTGATGTGACAATTATTAAGTTTAACTCTCTAAAATATATATGATAAAATAATAATATAATTGATGACTTTATTATACACTGATGTAATGTAAGGATTAGTGATTAGAATAAATTCTTAAAAAGGATATTTTGTTATTTTTAAAATTGACAACAGCCTTTGATGAACCCTATTGATTAGAGTAACTACAAAAATCGTTTTTATAGACTATAATTGACATCAACCAAATTTGATCTTTATATTTCAAAAAGCACAATGAGTTTAGAAGGCCGGATAGAGTTGACTCTCAATTGAAAAATAAAAATAAAAACCTTGAAGCAATGAAGAAAATTTTCAAATATTTAAAATCATGAAAAACTTCGTGGGAGAACGAATATTTAAAATTAAAAAAATTAATTAAATTTGTTTCATATCTTCTTCCAATTTGATGGTGGCAAACTAAACATAACTAAAAAAGAAAGGCATTGAACTCTCATATATTTACTATCTCTGATATATTAGTTAAATACAATCATCACTTCTAGATGCTGAAAGGACCACACCTAAAGATATTATTCAATATACTAGTCTCATTATTCAAAAAAAAAACACACCCCTACACACAATCAATGAGCCAAAAGTCTCATTCCATGCAACTCGTTGATGAGCTCATTCAACTCCTTCCACGAAGACCCACCTTCCTCCAAAGCTCTCTTCGCCGCCTGACCCACCTCCACCACTTTCTTCCTCACCATCTTCCCCTTCTCACCCTCCATCAACTCCCTCACCATCTTCTCCAACCCTTCCCACTTCACAAACCCTCTCACCGACCCATCACAAGTCTCCACCCTCACTCCCACCTTTATCTCCTCCACCACCATCCTCGCATTCAGGTGTTGCTCCGCCATCATCGGCCAAGCCAGTATCGGCACCTCCGCGCATATACTTTCCACCGCCGAGTTCCACCCGCAGTGACTCAGAAAACCCCTCACACTCTCAGGCCCAAGTATCTCTCTCTGATCAACCCACTCTCTCACTATCAATCCTCTCTCTCTAACTCTCTCTTCGAACCCATTTCCTAATTCTTCCTCTTTTTTCTTCATAACCCACAAAAAATTCACCATTGATTTCTCTAACCCAACTGCAATTTCATGTAATTGTGCTTCTGATATCTCTGCTTGAGAGCCAAACGCCACGTAAAGAACAGAGCTCCCCTGTTCTTGCTTTCTGTCTAGCCAATCAATCCATTTGGGCTTTGGTTCTGATTTGTGCTTGAGTTCTTGGGCCAAACAGAGAGGTCCAATACACCAGGCTTTGGGCTGGGAGTGACTATTCCAGTAGTCCACGAACTTGGGCTCGAGATCGTAGAAGCTGTTTACTAAAAGCCCATAACTCTTGGACGTTGATATGACTTGCTCGATCACGAACTCGAAGTATGGGCCCTTTGGATCAGGGTCCGAAAACGGTGGCCCGAAGTCGTTTCTTGTGAGCTTGATCCATGGAAAGCTGGTTAAAGTGAAGGGTTCGTCATCTGAAATGGGTTTTGAGATGAGTTGATTATTGACAGCGTCTCTGGATATGGACCCCGCGTAGTTGGTCATTCCGTAATAGACCAATCTTGGGACGCCCAATTTGGTGGTGGAGTCCAAGGTCCAGCCCAAGAAGCCGTCGGAGACGAGGAAGGTGACGTTTGGGAGGGAGTTTAAGGTTTGTTCGAAGTGGGGTTGCATGAGCTTGGTGGCGTTGGCGAAGGGGACGAAGAGGGACATGGAGGGGAGTTTGTCCGTGCTCTCGATGCCGGAGGTGATGTCTGGGATGTTTTCTGGGAAGGGGAGGGAAAGGACGGAGGCGGCGGTGTCGGAGCGGGAGGTGGAGATGAAGGGGAGGTTGGCGGGAGTGGTGAGGACGGTGACGGAGATGTGGCTGTGGAGGAGGAGGCGGGCTAGGTGGAGGATTGGGATGGTGGCCTTTTGACATGAAGGGGAAGAGAACTGCATGGATGTTATAAGATGATTCTGAATTAGGCCGATGAACAGAATCCATCCTCTCTCTCTCCTCCCCCCCTCTCTCTCTCTCTCTCTCTCTCTCTCTCTCTTACTTGTTAGTTCATTTGCTAACGTAGGGTTATTTGTAGTTGATTTAGTGTGCTGTAATGTTGCTGGGGTCCACTGGTTTGGCTTATGTCATGTGCTACGTAGGCAGCTCTTGGATCTCAGTCTCTTTTCTTCTTTTTTTTTTTTTTTTTAATAGTCCAGCTGTCCTTTATTTTCTGCGTGGAATAATGATAGAATGGTAGTATTTTCTCCATCTTAAAATAAGTGTCATTTTCTTCTTTTTGATCTGTCTCAAATTAATAGTCTATTTTTATTTTTCAAACAATATATTTCACATATTTATATATATGTTCTTTGAGTTTAAAATTTCAAATTTAAATATTCAAAATTTTAAAAAACAAGTTAGTAATTTTTCAGACCCACATGTCCAATTAAAAATTACTATCCCTTATAAGCAACACTTAAATATCTTGTTAGTAATTTTTCAGACCCACATGTCCAATTAAAAATTACTATCCCTTATGAGTGACACTTAAATATCTTATGACTAGTAAGGACTTAAGTATTGTTCATATTTTAATGATAAAAACGATAAACCATAAACAAAATTAAATTAATAAACTGACAGACATGTAAACATAGACTAAATAAAGAATACAGATATTCATGTGGTTTGTCATAAAATTATTTATGTCCGTGATTAAAATTGAGCAAAATATTTTACTAAGTGAAAAAATAAAAAATTATAAATATCTAACTCCAGTGATCTCTCGTCTACACTCTAAATTCTAAACTTCTTTATAAATTGAACTATAAAGAGTTTTCAAACCAACTCCACAACCTATAAAAAAAAAAAAAATGAATTTTTCGAAGTTGCAACCTTGAGTCACAACAAAATTCAATCCACAACTTGACAGATATAATTAAAAAGAATGTCCTTTAAAAAATGTTTATTTCATTTTCAAAAATAATTAGGTTCATTTTTTTTAGTGACAAAAATCTTATACTTAGAATATTTCACCTTTTATGAATTAATCAATTATCTCTTTTATTAATTATAATTTTATATATATATAATATAAAGGACATATATAAGATATATTATTAATTTATTATTGTGTCATAATTGTAAAGAGTATGCATAGGTTGTTGATGGTTGGTGTTATACTTGAGTAATTGTTTTGCATTGCTGTCTAGACTTTAGGAATGAAGAGCGTAT